CCTGCTGCCATGCCAAGGTGTGGGGCAGCGATGGGGTGGATCGAGGCTCTGCGAGCTCCTCATCCTTGCTGGGGGTTAGAGGTTCCTGCATACAGGCTCATCTCATAAAACAGAGCAAGTTTCCAATTAAAACTGGATTAAAAAAAGCTCCCAAACCCCAGAAATAAAGTGGGAACATGCACCCAGCTCGGGCTGCTATTGAGTTTTGTAATGTAGGGTTCATTTTGTGGGCTGGATTTGGATGCCTTTCTAACCCGCAAGTCGTTTCTTTCCCCTGTCACATGAACGTAAAGCACACCCTGATACTAGGGAGAGCAGCAGCAGAAAGTTCACCACTTCTTTTCTTCTGCTGTGGACGGAAATTATTCACTGGTATGTGGGTGGATGAGTGTATACGTGACGTAGGGTGACTTTCAAAGAGAACAAATAGGGCTTCTGCTTTTGTCTGCCTCCTTTCAGTGTTCAGGGGAGGGGAAAGCAGGTTTTCGTTCTGACTTTCTGCATTAGCAGGGGCCAGACATGGGCCTCAGCAGTGTTTTCTCCAACCCCCTTGGCAATCCCTTTGGCTCAGTCCCAGACTTGCACTGCCACTGCCAGTCCTGGGTGCTCTTCTCCTCGGTGTGCTCTGCCTGGGATGTTGGATTTTTTTCCTCTTTTTCATAAATTAAGGCAAGCAGAGGGATCCACACAGTCCATCCTCCTGTCCTGGTGTGAAGGAGCAGAACTGCAGAGCTTTACAACCACCTTCGTCCCAGGGTGGCAGAAGCCACCTGGGTATTCCACCTATGGAGCATCTCTCGCTTGCTGTATGTTATATACCTGGCATGGCTGAGGCAGGGCAAGATGCTCCTGAAGGCTCTGTGAGCCAGAAAATGTGAAGGCGGCCTCAGGAAGGTGCATGAGGAAAGGGCTGGGTGCTGTCCTGCATGCAGGCAGGGAGCAGAGCTGGGACACGCCAGCCTCTCAGGGCGCTGGGCATGCTGGGGGTGTGTCGGTTGGATGGAGTAGGCTGCTGTGCAGCATGGAGGAGTGAGTTGGGATTTATAAATAGGGCTGAAGGGGAAGCGTTGATGCTAGCGGTGACCTCGTTGCTATAAATAAGACGAGCGTTCAACAGCAGAGACGGGTCTTGCAGTCTGTTAGCCACAACTCCCTTTCAGTGCTTTGCTAAACATCTGTTTTCTTGTAAAAAGGGAGGACGCGCTCTCGTGCCCAGTATCCCAGGAGGACTCCTGGGGCATTTGCACCATCTGCCTGCAACAGTGAGGTGCCACTAGTGTCAGTGCTTGTGTCTTGGTGTCCCTGGGTGCTTCCTCCACACTCCCTGGTGCTGCGTCACCATCATGCTGTGACAGAGACGCCGGGTATCGCACCAGCAGTGCTGCCCCTTTCCCCCCCATCACCTCTGGATGGTCCCAGATCCCATGCACGGGTGGTAAAGTAGCGGAGCAGGGTATAGCAAGGACGGGAGAATGGATGTCACTTGGCTTGTGGCCATTTCTCCCATCACTTGGTTGTGTGATGTGGATAGTTCCGATCAAGGCAGACGGCCATACAC